TCGGTCGTGCCCTGACGTAGCCCAGAGGTTGTTTCAGAGTTAGTTAGAATTTGAAGGTTTCAAGGTGTTAATTAGACCAGCGAAAGGAATCCTCTCGTAGTAGTGRAATCAGGATGTAAAAAATGGGACGGGGAGATAGTTAAAGCCTCTGGCCCGAAAAGAAACAATATAATATRATATCGATAAAAATAGGCGTAAATTTTGGTGATGGCATGAAGAGTCTTCAGTTAATGTTTACCCTCAGACACAGGTGTTTTTGATTATGGAATCAAGTCGTGACTTTGATTAATGAGTTTTATGTACAAATAATGAATGTTATTGATAAAACATTACCTTACTTAAATTTAATGATAGCAATAAATCATCACTATGWCAATGACTGTAACATCCCAGAAATAATAGAAAAAACAGCGCGCAAAGCTTTGATAAATTGAAATAGATAAAAGTTATGTTAATTCAGAGGTAAAAAGTTTGATTGGTGAATTTTATCGTATTCTTCAATATAAACAGCATAATTTTCAGGATTTTTTTGGGGGGGGGGAGGGGAGTGGGGGATTTGACTTTAATACCAAAACACTCTCGATCTTCKTTCATGCACCACGTTTCTCATTGGCTGCTTCTCGTAGTAGTTGTACTAGTTCGAGCGCGGTTAATATTTTTATTCCATCATATATCCCTGTACAGGTGTTTACCAAAGTATTTGTGCGCGCTGCTTCCAACTGTGTGTAAATATCAAAGTAAAGACTATGTTTGGTCGTCATTGCTTCCTTGTAAGTGCGCGCTGTTTATTCTGGCATCATAATTACGCTTCGGTGTATTTATAAACCATGTGGACTTAACTTTACACGTTATAATACATGCTGCAAAACACCTGAGCGATACGCACTATGCAGAGTCAAATGGACCGTTGCGGATACATTTCTGAGGATTAATCTTAATGTGTGAAATAAGTAAGTGCGCAGGCACACTTCAAAGTGTGTGGTTATGTTTTGTGTTGTGTTGTTTGCGTATTTAAGAGTGATAAACCATGGTGTGAATGTATCTTGTTTATTGTTGAGACATCCTATTTAAAGGAACGAACACCTGCTAGGATTGTTTTTATTATTACATAACGTACGTGCCGTGCCCTGAGTATGCTCTGTTTTCTTTCAAAATATATTCTATAGTAGTACTTTACTTCTTTATAGGTTTTTTTTATATTTCTTATGCAGTTTAAAGTTTGTTGTTACAGTTATATGAACAATACATTTAAAACTAATAAAACTATTTTTTCGTTGCAGCAAATCTAAGAGTTTTGTCAGACACTTTTGGTCGAGTTAAAATATTCGGAGCCAAGACCAATCGATATCTGTGCATGAACAAGAATGGCAAGCTCGTTGGGCGTAAGGTTAGTAGTAACGCAACAATCGTACGATAC